TGCCTGAAGATTGTTTGCATAAGAAATACACCAAGAACATGTTTGTGAGTAGAAATGAACATGCACTATGAAAACCAAAAAACAAAACAAAACAAAAAACCCAAAACAAAATAGAACAAAAAACACATCCATGTGTTGTAAGGACAAAACATTAAGAGCCAACATTCTAGAGTCAAATCAGGGCTACAAGTTTAATGATGGTTTTTAGCAACATGAAGTCATTCTTTATGAAGTACTTTTTTTTTACTTTTTTTTTTTTTCCTTTTCCTGCTGGTGAGTTTTCTATAAGCTAAATTTACAATGGCATTTTGAGATGTTTCCTTTTCTCCTGTTCTCCTTCTACATAGAGCTCAGAGGCCAAAATGATTGGAATGGAAAACTGTGGTTGCTGTTACAATGTTTATTCTAATAATATCTTATTTTACTAAGTGTAACCAAAAATCAAATAAAACTGGTACTTATCTGGCTGGCAGCCACTCAATTATTGTCTTTTATCCTCTTAAGAAGAGGTAAATCTGGGTATATGTGATTACTATCTAGGTAGCATCTCAGTAACTACCAGCTTTTCAGAGCTGGCTGAATGAAATAAAATTGTGAGGAAAAAGTATAGGGAGGTATCCTATTCTGAGGTGAGGAAATTATGTAAATCATTCTATTTGGCCCATCTTTAACGAAAAGTTTAGAAGGGATTTTTCACTTATCTATCACATTTGGGATATGATGACAAATTGCTCGTTATTCTTTGCCAAGCATAGCTGTCTCCACAGAAGCAGAAGGAAATGTATCTACCCTCCTGGCTGACCAGAAGTGAACTTCTAATCTCTTTGGCTTTTCCTGACCAGTATGAGGAATTAGCGTGTTAAGTCAGCCAAGAAAAATCAATACAGGAGCAAGAACACGAATATATTTAGGCATCCTGGGCAAAAAGCAGATGGTAGACAACATCCCTAGCACATAAAGCAAGTAGCAATGATTACACAGCAACACCGTCCAGTCCAAAGATGGACTTGAAAGTCTGTCCTTGAACTGAGTACCAATCCATGGTTGCCAGATCAGGCCTCCCCCACTGCACAACCATGATGTTTCAGCGCTGTATACAATTAGTATCACTCTCTTTTGTCCTGCTGCTCCTCTAACTGCAAAAATAATCTCTTGCCTACAGCATGCCTCAACTTTTTGAGTAGTGTGTGTGTTGTCCCTGCTAAAAACTGTCACTGTGCAGAACAGTACATTTTTTATGCAGAACCGAGATACAAGTATCCAATATCCCTCCTTCTTTCTGGATGGTCCATGAAAAATTAAGGTGGGAGTTTCATCAGCACAGTGGCAATTAGGTGCAAAACTTATTTTGGATATCACTCTGAGTTTAACACCTGAACGTACTGTGCTCTGGAAAATCTTCAATCTCCTGCTGCATTATCCTATGGAGCAGCATCCCTGAAGTGATAGCTAAGAGGCAGTCCAGTTAGCAGACGTCTCATGGTGGCTCCCTCTGTACAGAGTGCTAATAGAAACATTGCTCATGTTCTGCAATCTGATTAATGACAGGCATCACAAATCCTCTGGTTTTGAGCCATCTACTTATCCTGTGGTCCAATTTGAGATACATTTTAAGATCTCAAACCACCATTCCTTAGAAGAAGTACAACACCCTGCAGACACTAACAAACAGAGAACAAAGAATGACTCTTCAAAAGTTCAGGTTTAGGTACTGTAAGCTGATGGAAATGCAGCGGGTGCAGTAATTACATGTGTGTGCTAAGACTGGTTTCCATCCAAGAGTTATTAAATAAGATTATTCTTTTTCAATGTCAGGATTTATTTTTCTTTTGATTAATACCCATTGTGAGGGGGGCTGGAAGAGGGATAGAGTCACCTCTCTTTTGTTCAGAAACCAAACTGTGCTCCCCCCACCCCAATCAAAGAGAACAGGCTATGGCAAAATCCCATTTCTTACAAAGCAGAAATCTTCAAACATCTCAATATGTCATGGCAAGAACAGTGAACTTCTTTCGATTTTTATTTGCATCATCTAGGTGTGCAATACAAACATTCAAAAGTCTGTCTTGTTCTTTGCACTCGTAAGATTTCATTTCTCCTCATCCCCAAACCCTGATATGTGTATTTCCTGTTATTGGCCTCTGCTTCTTCTGAGTTTAGCACGAGGTGTTATGAAGTACAGGGTGGTGCTCAAGTCTCACAATGTGCATGTCCCCCTTAAGCTATTTTGACATGAAGATGCAGCTTCTATCAACGAAGAAGCCACAAAACCTGGTAGTTTTTAGATGAAGTAAGTCAAACTACTGAGGCAGGCAGCTACCTCCGAAGCTGATAAAAATCACTGCTTAGAGAGTCTAACATGTTTCTTGGAAAAGCTGAAAAGGACACACACTGGACCCCGACGTAACAAAACGAGGGCAATCTATTTCAGTCCCCACAGAAAAAAAAAAAAAAAAGAAACTAAAAATACCCAGCAAAAATAAATCCACAAAAAACAAGTCAGAACTTATTATTGGAGAACAATAGTAAAAACATAACCAGACTTTGTCTGGCACTGGTAAAAAGCTGGAGATTCATCTAAAAAATAGAAGAAGAAGAATGTGGCCCAATATCCTTTGCTAATCTAGAACACTATTGAAGGGTTATAGAACACAACCGTGAACAGACTGCGTGGGACTTTCCATATGCTGCTCACCAGTATAGAAGCAATGGGTGGAGCAGGAAGGAATGCAAGCCTAATGCTGAACAATAGCCTGTCTGTGCCTAACAAATCAGAGAAACTGTGCAATAACGTTTCATCTGTGTGAAAACATAACACCCAAAATACTGCCAAGGTCAGCAAGACCTTTGGTGGTCAACTGTGTAAGTGCTTCTCATGCATGGTGATGTTTGTTGCCAGCTGCTTTAGGCACGTTATTTTTCAAAAGACCATCAAAGTGCTGAACATTTAGGCCAGTTCCTCCCTGGTTTTCCTTTTGCCAACCCCTATAAGACATTTCCTATCACCTCCCCTTGTATCTTCCACCTCCCTGTCTATCTGGTTAAGTATAAGTGCACCAAATTCTAGAAGGGAGAATGGTGAGATTCAGGTAAGTTAAATACAAGAACTTTTTACTTTTTTTTTTTTTTATGATGCTTTAGTTTCAATTACATGAAAATCTGAGAAAGGCGGCATGTAAGTGAGATCAGAATAGGACCCTTTACATATAATCTCAAGTGAGGACTTAGTCCAGAGATATTTTTATAGAACATTTTAAAAAATAAAATGCATGAATGGAGAAATAAAAGACAACATAATATCAGAAAGACATTTTAAACTTCATTCGCTGCAACATTCATGAACCAGTTGAGCTACACCTGCCATCCAACCATAAGGAACTAAGACCCTGCACTGCGAAAAAGAAACAAACCCAAACAAAACAAAAAAGCAACTGCGTAATATTGTAAAAATGGAGTGCAATGCTACTACAGAATGCAATAAAACATCAGTGCTGCATCGTCAAACAGCACTTATCAAAATAATTTCTGAAATGTTTCTTCTGAAACACAGACAAAGCAATAAAAAGAGGATATATGTTTATCATTTTAAGCATAACAATGTGAGTTAAGAGCTTAAGAATACAAAAGTACTTGGAATGAATAGTGCTACCCTTTTTTTCCTAAGTAGGCATAAAAATATTTTCATTTCCTTCTTGTTTTTCCATACCATTAATATCAACAAATTTCATTCATTTCATGTTATCGTTTACAACTTGAATGCACACACACAGAAAAAAAGATACCTACTGCAATAGAAATAGTTGCTTCATTACCTTGTTTGCTACATTTGCAAATGTAAACAGCGAGGCAGAGCCAGAACTGACTCTAATGCATGATGGAATATCTTTGTTGCATACGTACACTGTAGAAAATAATTATTCAATATGTCAGGCACCATTATTTGAAATGTAATACATTAATATTTACTAGAAAAATAAGGTTTTTTCTATTTGTTCTCCCAACTTCTTTAATGAAATAAGTTAATCTGACAGTGCATCCAGTAGCTTGTAATATCTTCTACATCCCTGTGGCAAAATAATAAACTACTGGTTGGGACACTATAATGAAAATGATTAAAGTCAGTTCTTGTACACCCTTGTAGCAAGCATGGAGGCTCGTCTAACAGCACCTTTAACCAATTATTTAATATTTAGTTATTTAGCCCTATTTCCCTGAGCAGTTATGCTGAGGAGCTTTCCCTTCATGGATAGTTTTTAAAAAGCTTTAAGTATTAAAAAGTACTATGAAGACATTTAATGCTACTTAGCAAAAGCTGGTTTAAGTCTACTGAAGGGATTGACTGGTATGTATAGCAATGTTAAGCCTGTGGAGAAGTAACCTTAGACTTTAAGGTTTAGAAATGTAATATATTAAAAATATATTAAAATAAAATACAGCAGGTTACCTTGTTCTATGCAAATTAAACCTGGACTGTGGCTTCTGTATTAGACTTCACTTGCACAAAATGGTTTTCCTAGACTAAAGTGTGCCAGAAAGAATGTAGTGATAAAACGGTAGCTAAAAATCAGCTGAGTCTGAGAAATATCTAGATAAAATTGCTGCCAAAGCTTTGAGGAAGAAGTGATCCTAAGGCATGTTGTAGGGCAGAAATTAGCCCAAATTAAAGGAAAGAAAATGACCTTTTAACATTTGTATATTTAACAAGCCTAGTTCTTATATACAATGTGCATATGTCCACTATACCCCTGCAGCAGTATATACATATACACATCTTTGCACTCTTGCCAGTTATGTCTCTTACACAACAGCAAAGGTATTAATTGTCCGGTAAAATTTTCTCAAGGTAATTTGCCATGATTCACTGCATTCTGGCTAGCTTTGGTGGGCCGTGTCCCATATAATTATCTTCTCCCCCTTCTGGCCACCATCCAACTGTTCTTTTTTTCTTGGTAACCCACTCATTTAAAAGGGAAAAAAAAAAAAAGAAAAAAAAAAGAAAAGAAAAAATAAAGAAAAAAATGAAAAAGGGATTTAATATTGGATAAGGCATGCTCTCTATATGAAGTGCTTTATAGGTCTTCACAAGACATTACAAGCTATTGAATTCCCATCAAGGAAACCTATTTCTGTTTAATTGTGCTAAGTGCTAAGGTTTACTCTTTAGGTTTTCCATTCTTTTCAGCTTGTGCATTGTTCCTGTGTAGGCCCCTCTGGATGTGAGTTGTGAAGTCATACTTGTCCGTGCAAAGATGCTGGCATATGCTGCACTGGAAAGGTCCACTGTCACCATGGCAACTCATATGCAAAGCATACATCACTTCATCCAGAAAGACAATGCCACAGTGCACACACTTGGTAGAAAGTTCATCTTGAGTACTTCTATCAACTTTCTCTGTTTTTACTACATTCAAGGGACCTTCATTTTTTACATTTGGTGGTGCCTTACTCTTTTCCTTGGAGGCACCATTTGCAGTTGGCCCAGGTCTGGAATGCTTTATCGCCAAATCAAGAGGAATGTCATTGTCTGATCCGACAGCTGAAAAATGAGGAGGCAGATTAAAGGTGGGATAAGGCACATAGTTTTGGCAAGGATTTGGTAGGCCAGGCACATGACTCAAGTAGTGTGGATTCCCAGGAACAGACAGCTTATATTTACTCCAGAATCTCAGCCAGTCAGCTTCACTCTGAAAGTCATTGTGTACAAACGGAAGTCCAAAGAGTGGGTACTGGTATTTTTCAATAGGGCTTCCAGGTGGTGAATAGTTTGGATGTTTCGCAGGTCTCATGTACTTTTCTATCGGGCTGCCTCTCTCTGAGCTTCCTTTCCCTTCTGATATTGATGAACTGTTTCCTGGGTCTCCAGTACTTTCCTGAGGACTTTTTATCTGAATGTGCAAAGGTTGCATCCTTTTGTGAATATCCAGAGTCTGGCTGACCAATATTGGCTGCTGAGCAGAATGGCTTTTAGTCAATGAACCTGGCGCCTCATATTTACTGAGGCTGGGAAGCTGAATTTCTCTCTGATGACCTTCAGGTAAATGATCCTCTGACCTCCTCTCTAAGGGGCTTCCATTGACTTGTTCCTCACTGCTACCCCTCTGCTGTTTGTTTAGCTGCTCAGCCTGAAGTGCCTCCGGGTTAAGGCGCTTTCTTGTTCGTCTCCTAATGATCTGCTCACCATTGTTCTGCTTAATGATGTTTAAAGGCCTGGGAGTCTGCATGGAACACACACAATGAACAAAAGGAAAAGACACATTAAATCTGCAAAACCACGCTCACCCGAATTTATCTTTTCTTTTGTGAAGAGGTATACTGTAAGAGTTTCATGGGAATGTCCAAATTTCAGCCCAAATGCTGTTTCCTGGCCCCTCATGCTAAAAGTAAACTATGAATTAGTTTGTTTTATCAAACTAAGTCAACTGCCTTAAACATACCTGTTTACTTAAAAAGGCATGAAGCATGCAAGCTTTCAAGACATTTATTACCCCTTACTACTGAAAAATTCTGGGGGAGATGTGCTGAAAGTGGGTGCTAAGAACCGGGGTTGAGGTGGGAGATGTACAGCCCGATGCACTGGTCTTATACCATGCACCATGTTACATGGGCTGGTATCAGGCAGGAGTTTGCACAGATCACACAACAACAAGAACTTAGTAACACTTACCTTGATACTCACCCCTTTGACATGGATAGAAAATACAAGCAAATACAGGGCTTGCTAACCACCACTGCTGTCACCTAGCAAAAGGGTTGCAAGTCCGCTGTGGTGAGTGGGATGATGGTGGCTGGAAAGGGACTAAGAAAGATGGAGAAGAAAGCCCAGGAAATCTCTTCCTGTGCACCAAAAGGTCTATGCTGGACTTTGGTACCAACTTCCCCTCCTTCATTCCTACTGTATTTCCTTCTATATGTTACAGATGTTGTGCTATGTCACCCCCTAAATGTGGAAAGAAGGGTCTGTAAATAAAAGAGCATCCTGGAATGGACAGAGGCAAGAATTAAATGAGGACTTCTGCTTTCATTTGCTAATTCCCCACACCAGCTCGGGGTAGGTGGCCCACTTAGATGAGACTTGAAAATACTTTTTGGTTAAAAAGTAAAAGAAAATAAATAAATATAGTACAAGGACAGCAGCCAGGCCTCTTGGAAAGGCCTCTCAACAGGAAGGCAAAGGTATGTGAATGAAAGATGGTGCTGTAACATTGGTATGTGTTGCTCTACTGGGAAGATGTTAGAACAACAAAAATACCTGAAAGTCAATTCAGTTTGGCGTGCTGGCAGTTGCCATTTTTCTCATCCAAATGCACACATAATCCCATTTTGGTTGGAGGCCAGAAAAGTGCCCTACACAGTATTCCACTTTTACATTTATTTGGAAATTTTCTTTTTAATATTGTTTTAAAGTGCAGATTAAATTTTGGCTTACAGTCAATATCCAAAGTAATGTGTACCTTGAATGTAACATAATTTTTATATATTCAAACTTTGAATTAACATAAAAATATCCAGAGCTGGAAGATCGCTCACTCTATTATTTGTAGAAATCTAGTTTCTCTCTTGACTTGCCATCTTCCTCTCCTCTTTCACCTATTTATTTCCCTGACGTTGGTTTATTCTTAATGGCTAACTGTATTTTAGGCAGCAGAGCTACTTTTTAAGATTTTCCTTTCTATTAAAATTCTGAATCAGAAGAAATATACACTTTGATTTAGATTTTTAATAAACAAGACTTAAACTTAGCAGAAAAACATGACCTGAACCAGCCTCCTCAAACAGATCAAAGTTGAGGGAATATCATGTTAGATAAAATTAGAATATTTTTCTATGTAAATTACATGCAAATAAAGTTTAAGTTTGCAGAATCCATAACCAATTAATATGCATAAGCATATACTCTTTACTACAAGCTCAGTGTAATATCCTCACCTTCTTATGACAATTCTAACACTGTCATACCAACATGCTATGTGAGGTCTTAGAATATTATTGATGTTGCTCTTGTTGAACTTTTATTTATACATTACAGACCACTTTCATATGGCTTCTGGATAACCTTTCAAAAGTGGAATTTCTTACTTGTCATGTTACAGGTATGATGCAGCTTGTGGAAGTAGCTAAAAAAAATATCTTCATACCTGTGATTAAAGACCCTCACACACTTGCTTGCAGCTCTGGCTCTTCAAAGTTACATTCTATTAAGAATTAAAGGCTGTAGGTCCGACTTCGAAATTCTTCAGCATGCAAATAACTGTACTCATCTGACTAGTCTTTAGCTGATTGAAATGGACTATGCAGTGGAGTAAAGCTACGCACATTTTCCTTACTCATAATAGTAATGTGCAGATAAAAATATTCTGTATTTGGCTGGAAGTAAGGCAGACAGAAAAGTTTTGCTTTTAAAATGCCCTATGGCAGATCCTTAATTGTATGTTATACATAATATATTGAGTATGATCACACAGATTTTTTTTGCGATTTCTGTATCAATCGGCAATCTCGCTACCCTAAACATGAGTAACTTCATAAAAAAAATCACAAAATTCAGCAAATAGTTCATTAAATTATTGTGATTAGACTTCCTAGATACCATGGAAAGACAGAATGATTCATCTGCTAGAAGATCACTTATTTCTAATCCTAGAAGAGTATGCTATAACTCCTCACTGAAGTAGTGTAAGGATGCGTCCAAGGAATCACTATGGAACAAAATCTAGTTTTTCATGACCAAGTTAGAGCTATTAAAAATGCGGAACTGCATCTCAATAATAACAGTCAAATTCATTATTTTGGGTATCATAGAAGTAGAAATATTACTTGGAGCAGAAATCAATACTACCATGTTAACATTTGTCAGTCACTACCACCCATAGTATCTGACAGACTATAATTCTCCTCATTATTAAATACAAGAAAAAAGGGACCTTAGAGATGAGTGTATTATATACATACTTGAGTTAATCAGGACAGTAGTTCTAGATAGTGATAATCCAATCAAAAGGGAGATATGAAGTGTGCAAACCTCCTATAGGTGAGTTTTACTCAGCTGTATAGTGTAGCTTATTTTAACAGAGTAGCTCACAGAAGGGAAAAGTTCTGTTAGCTTTAATTTTTATAGCTTCAAACATTTATCTAGTAACTATCATAAAATCCTTAATTTGAAAACATTCATACATATAATACTTACTGTAAGTTTTCATGAAGAAATAGACAGGCAGACAGATAACAGAAACTTTCATCTTTCTGGTGTCAGCCCAAGGAGTGTCCCTTTGCATGGTATTGTCTCAAAAGGTGTCCCAAAGGAGAAATTTGTTTGATTATTTCAGACTCCAACTTACAATGGAGTTGCTATCACACCACAGCAGAGTGGAGGCTTAATTAGATTTCTCTCCATTTGTTTGGTCAAAGTTCAGTTGAAGATATTAATGTCAAATGTCCACTGAATGACAGCTTATTGCTATGCTTGAACAGTGGAGCTAAAAGATAGTGTCAGCTTCTTGATTTCTTTTTGCATTAAATGAAGTTTGACATTGTATTGCTAATTATTATTGTTGGAAGCACACTAGATTGTTCCTACTGGTTCCTAAGAACTATCTGAGCTATGTGTTTGAATTTAAAACTGATTCTTGTAGCTTTTATCTATTCAGTAAGTTACGCTAATAATCACAGTAAGGGCCAACACTACAGTTTATAAAAGTATATTAAAAAAAAAAGGTAAAATGGACACTCGAAGTGGAAGTTCTACAAAGTTCTCCAATGTCAAAATATGGTTAAAAAGCCAAACTGGCCTTAAAATCTTTGTGAATGCTCACCCCTGATTAATTTCTTTAAATTAAATATTATATCTAGAACTTTGAGAGAGAGATACTTTCAGCAAGATCTGGCCAACATGCTGGTCAGAGATCACGCATCCACCTTCTGCTCAGATACTGTCTGGCTGCCTGGGTTGTTCTGGAGCTTAAAAACAGTTACTGACCTCAGCCTGAGAGCACATGGCAAACAGAGTTAAGTTTTCAGATTGGTGATGGTCTTGCTGCTTTCAAATATTGGATCTTTTATATTATGTGGACTGACCGGACAGGATCTTGAGTAAACAGGATTGTTAACCATCCTATACACAAGACCAAGGGTAAAATTCACAGAAACTACTAACTGATTCAGAAGCTTATACCTCAAATTTAAAGAGGCATAGGCATTTGGCAGTCTTAATGCATTTAAAATAGAGTTTCCTAAATGGCTTTTTTTTTCCCTGAAAATGGAATTTCTGAAAAAAAGTTTTTAAAAAATACACATTTTCAGCCACAACATAGATTTCTGATTTGGGCTCTAAGCCTGAATTATGATGTTCTCTTGGCAAATGCCCAAGGGCTGCCTGAGTTTCTATTTCTGAAAAATAGTTAACACTTTCTAAGTTCATGGGAATGTTGTAAAAATTAATTAGAGTCAAATCTTGGTCACCTGACTCTCCCATGTGCTTCTATTAAAGATAGTGGGGATAATATTTAACTAGTGGTTTTTAACCTTAAAAGATTGTGAGCATTTTGGCACTGATCCAAGGAAACACTTAAGCATGGCTTTCCTGGACCTGGACCAGAGCATTCAACATCTTTCAGGATCAAATCAATAAGATGAAAAGCAATTCCCTGCCTGATCCTAAGGATGGTGAATCTTCCCCTCACCAAGTGATGAGTGCCACCAAGTGAGTAGCTTCCTTGTTATTTCAGAATCCTCCAGCAGACTATAAGAACTGTAGAAAAAAGAACGGTAGAAAATCCCACCACCCCATATGTCCAAGAAGTTTACTGTCAAGTATAAAGGGGGGCAGAAAAGTGAAGGGAAACTAAAAACACAGCAAGGGGTATTTTTGGTAGAGATGTGATGTCTAACCTTTTTTTTTTTAACATTACAAACATGAGGGCTCTTGAATTTAGACAGCTTTCGTCACAACATATTGTATGCCTTTAAATGGAATTCCCAGAAAAGAAATAATTTTCCCCTTATTTTGTATCAAAATAATTAAATGCATCACTGGTGATCTCAAACACATCTACCCACAGCATCCCAGCTTGTTTCATAATGAATCACATCTGATCCCAAAGTGACCATAGAGCAAAGCCCTGTTAGGAAATTAACTGCAGGCCAGGGAGTGGTACTAATCACACAACCAGACAAGACCACAGCTTAGCCGTATAACCCCTTTTTTTCTGAATAAACCAGTAAGTTCTTCCTACCGAGTGAAGCTTCTGGTAGAGGCCACACGCATTGCATACATATCCACCATTTGCATTCTTTCGCCAGAGAGAGGTCTTTGTGGTCAGGCAATTGGCACAAAAAACACCCGAGCCTCTACGTCTCTGTAACAGGGAAGAAAAAGGGAAAAAAAAAAAACAGAGGGAAAAAAAGAAAAAAGCAGGTCAGAGGTGAGTCACATGAGCTGCGGAGTTAGGACAAATCAACACAGGAGTTTTGTCTCTAGACTGGCAACAATGACAGTATAAAACCACACTGCCCATAATGAGGTCAGGTTCAATTGTGCTTAATAGGCACCACTGATTTTCATTATAATTAACCATAGAGTGATGGATGAGGTGTGTGAAACACCAAAGCCTTTTCAGAATAACAGCTTTAACTTTTTGAACTTCAGGTTTTGTGCATTTAGTGATGGTTTCTAAACAGCAAATTCTGAAAAAAACCCTCTGGAAGCTGACAGAGAACATTCTGTAAACTTCTCCTGATTTGTTCAACACATTTCACAACAGATTAATTATTTTTAGTTTACTCGATTTTAAAGTGTGATCAGTAACAAGAATTCGAAACACCACCACTTCAGTTAATAAGAATTTGTATCTGCATCATCCTAATTCCTTTAACAGAGATTATACTTCATTAATTGAATACATGATATTCAATTCCAGTCTTTCCCACTTACTTCTGTGATCAGTATAACCTACCATATATTTCCCACAGCTCACTATGAACAAGGAGTAACCTCTACCAAACATACGGAAGTACAGTATTCTTAATGAGACTTCTTTTGAACTTCACCCGAAACCCCAGAAAATACTGTCTCATTGATGGATAACTTCTTTCTTTATTTTATTTTAGTCAAGCAAAGAAAGGCATGGTATAACTTCCCTAAATACAAATTGATTTTTTAACCAGACTGAGCTGTGCATTCATCAGCTTTCATAACGATCCAGGAATAGTTAAAAGTAGACACGTTTATGAGTATTGCTCATTAAATTTGTTCTACAGAGTAATGATTTCATTAAACTTCTCATTTAAACAAAAGTCAGTCTGTGTTTGTGGGCACAAATACTAATAAGCAGGAAATGGAATTCTGCTGCTGAAAAGAAAATCTGAATTTCAACTCTTGCTTTTTTGCAAAGGAAAAAAGATCAATATGAAATCTTCATCTAAGATAAGAATGGCTGAGTACAGGGAAAAACAGCCTGGGTGAAAACTAATTTTATTATAAATTAAAAATTACCAACACTGTAAGTAAAAATCTCAGGGTTTCATAAAATTTAAGTAATTTATTTAACTTTAGTCCATACTGTAGAAGAGTGGTGTTCATGCCAAAAAAATACAATGGTTATAATTGTACTCTGATACATTTCAAATGGAAAGCTTTCTGCAGACATAATTTTGGCTTCAAGACTGGAACACTTTCTTGGCATTGAAAGGGCATTTGATTCATCGGGTGTTTCACAATGTATCACTAAAAAGACCTGGTGAGCCGCCAGTTCCCTATAGGGTAATTTTTCCATCCAGATGCAAGTGCTATCAGAGGCCCTCGTCAGCTAAACTAATTATGATCTTGCATTTGCTGATGCCTGCTCACTCTAACGTTCGACATCCTCCATTAATCATCAATACAAGGAAAATGAATGAAACGTAAAGAAACGAGGGCTGGTAAGCTGCACAGCCATAAAAATCTGAAATGAGTGCAATAATTTAACAAGATTGGGGAAATGTTTTTAGTGAGCACAAAGTCAGGCTAACAATTGCCCTTTTAAACCAAGAACACAATTTCATTAGCACAGCAGGTTGTGCTACTTTAAAGTGATACAATAAAATCAAGATTGTAGGCAAGATAATCTCTCTCTCATGCCCTTACATCATACTCTACTTTGTCTCTTAAATCAGAAGCATTAATATATTACATTTTTCTCAATTTGGCTAGAACAAAAACTAAATGGTAGTTGATGTCCTTTAGCAAACATCTAACTAGTTGTGTAGAAGAGACACAGCTCACTCTGGGAATCTGCGCTCATCTACAAGTAAATTGAAGCTCCCAGTTCTTTTTGTGGTTGCATTATCTTCGCCCAGCTTTAGCTGGGTGTTGAAATATTTTCTGCAAGAGTACAATAAAAGCTTCACTAAACTAACCCCAATTTGGTCCACTTGAAGGGTGAGAAATTTCCAAGCGGAAATGAGTGTATATGGCCAGGATTCAGATACAACTGCAGAACTGTTTCTTTCCATTTCTACTTCTTGTCTGCCGGCCTATGGCTTCTTGGTCTGGTGTAGTAACCAACTGGAGTCTTAATCTGAGTCAGTCCTTCCACCCTTGCATTTCTGTTTATGTTCTTGAGTTTGGGAAATAGCCTCTACAAAGTCAAATGTATAGAGAATGGTCTAGTTTATGCACTGCATTTGTACGTGCCTGAATGGTCCTAGAAAGTGTAATAACACTGAAATGCTATGGAGTTACTATATTTTTGAAACTTTGACAGAAGTAACTCATTTTTTCTCTATTTTTTTAAAGAGAAATATGATTCAAACTGGACGTTAGTTGCAATGAAATAATACGATGACTACAGATGACAATCTACATAATAGCTATATGTGTCAAAAACCTATACCTGTGCTTATTTAGTACTTACTTACAAACTATCAGTTTAAATTTTTTAAGTAGTTCAGCTAAACATTTTTTCCTACATTTAATGCAAAGTGAAGTTTTCCTACATGCTGTCTTAAGTATTGCATCTTATCTTTAACTTCTCTTATTTCTGTATTATTTAAGGACCTTGCAGGATAATCAACAATGATTATTCCAATACCTATATAGCAAATTAAGAATTAAGCTACCTCTGGAAAAATTTACAAGGCTGTTACTTTTGGTTATGAAACAGCTTTTTATAGCGGGGACACACAGCTTTACAATGGATTTGTGGGAGTGCAACAGGACTATGAAAGAATAGGATTAAATATTCTTGACTCCCAGTTCCTACCAACCACAGAACAGACAAAATATACCTGAGAAATGTCCATCATGTCTGCAACCATAGGCCTCTACTTCCCATATAGCAAGTTTTATTAAAGTTATTGGCCAACAGAAATTATCTTTTTTTTTGTGCTGAATTTTAATTAGTGATGATACTTCTACTGTTAGTGGTAACACTTCTGCATGAGTCTGTTCAGCTTTGCATACTCAAGTGTTGTATTTGTCAATAATATTGCTGGTTTTCTGAGTAGTCTTGCAAAGGAACAGACACTTGAGCTGCAATCCAGTAAATACTGCACACAGCTAAGGCCCACAGCCTCCGTAAAACCCAGTCATGTGCTCAAGTGCTCTGCTAAGCACCACCCTAGCCAGCATTTTCATGTGTTATGGAACCTTTTGCTCTTTTTCAAATGTGCACACATACTTATGATTGATAGTTAATCTCTTAAAATCAGCACAGAGAAGGTAAGTTGACATAACTAGTTGTGGGGAGGTTTAAGCCACAGATAAAAAGGTTTCAGTCTGCAATTAATGCCACTAGCACTAGCTGGAGTTATCCACAAAAATTTCCTGTACATTCTTGGAAGAATAAGCCAAAAGGGTCTAAATAACTAAAATATATATCAAGTCAAACTTTAATCATCTGGAGCCTTATAACTGCTACATCACAATCCCAAATCCTGAAGGGGCCAGTGTAGTTAAGAGCCTGTCTCTATTTCCATTCCAGTTCCTAGGTCTGGGCGTTTAGTATCATGGTTGTCTCAAATCACATTGGGCTGAAACATGTTTTTGTCAGCCCAGATGTAACTTCTTTTTTTTTTCTTCCTTTTTTTTTTTTGGTACTGAAAACTTCATTTAAATCAGTTCAGCTGTTTATAATTTGGAGATTAGCCAAAACTGGGGGTTGGGAGGCAGAGAGGATTTCAAGTTTTTCAGATAACTTTCTAACAAATCTACAGTCATAGTCACTTTGCTCTGGGGAAAAAAAGTATGCACACATTTTAGTATTTTAGTAATAGCAAAGCAACAAGTGGATCATTATTTTTATGTAGCTAAACTACAAAAGTTTGTAATTATTCGCTGAACGTCTTGCAGATCTCTACTGTTTTCTCTCAGTAAGAACCATGCTGAAAGCATATAATTGCATAACAACCCTTGATATGCAGAGTATTTACTCACATTTTTTTATGGTTTCATATCTTGACCATTTCAAATTGAACAAGTCTGAAACTTGGTATACACATCGTCAAGCCCAGATGCCTGATTTTTTTTAACTCTTTAAATGATTTTCACTACTAACCAATACTTGACTGAAACAAGGAAATTATTAGTAGTGCTTTCTGCTAGGCAATAAACCAGTGAGAATACCTTAACAAGTAATTCACTCAGGCATCTCAACAGGATCAGGCCCTTCTTTTTAATAAAAACTGCTTTAGGTATTACAAGGATGACCCTACAATTTGAATGATTTCAAACTTGGCAGCCATGCAGAAGTGTCATTACACTCCACAGTTATACAAAAATATTTAAAAATGTACTGAACTTTCAGTAATTATTTCAGTGGAACTTAATGTAGCAAAAAACAGAGGCAAAAACACTGCTCAGGAACCGTGGCTTTTAGCTAGCTAGACTAAGCAACGGTGCCTGACATTCTGCTAGTGCCAAATACATCCTGTTTTCAAAATTTCTGCCAGAAGATGCTTTTAGAAACTCAAATAGACTCCACAAGTGTCAGCCAAACATTCTTCTTACATCACCCTCTCGGTTTTGGACATAACAAAACTTGTCTTTTTGCTGATTACTTTCACTTCCCCATCACAAAAAGATGGTATGATGAAGCCTGAGTGAATTTTTTTTTACCAACTCTGGCTTTTGTACCGTGCCAGAAATGGAGCACATTGTAATCAGAGCTCCAGAACATGAGGTGCAGGGACATCATAATGCTACCCAAAAATAAGCATATACTCAACCTATTTCCAGCAACAAAGTTGGGAACTATAACCATGCATGTCTCACTGTAAAAAACGCAAAACACTGGCTCTGGATGCTCTCTGGCAACACGGGAGGTCCAAAATGGGAGCACCAGGAAACCTGCATGTGCTTGGTTCAGTATGAGCCAGGTGACCCGCT